AAATGGCTGGTAACAGGATCAGCTCTTTGGCTCTGTCACTGATCTAGTCTTGTTGCCTGGGAGTTTATGGAGCAGCGTGCTTTACGGGGGAATCAGCTCGGGTGAGTCCTCCTTCCTGAGGATGGAGGCAAGAGACCAGTGGTGAATCAGCACCCTTGGGCTACACGGTTAGTGGGGTGGGGGCTGCACCTTGAACCTCACCTGGATGAATCCTGACCTGCAGCATAGAAGGAGCCGGCCTGGGGGGTGAAGGCCAGAGCCCAGATGGGACCAGGACCTTGTGCACAGAAGTGGGTGTCCCCTTGCCACCACAGCCTGGTTAGACTAACAGACTGTAGCTCCTTTGCTACTTCCTTGTCCGGCATGATTTTCCTTCTCTCACACCCCTGCTTGTCTATGATGACCACAGTATAGTGGGTCGACATGGGTTTCATGACAGGGCACCCAGAACTGAACACAGGCGGCCCGGACTGTTCTGGCCACATCAGGGTAGAACGATCCCCTTCTTGCCCCTCACTTGGATAACCTACAAATGACTTAGCCCGTCTCGTCTTCCTCCCCTTTTAGAGGCTCACAAGCACTGATCGTTCTGACAAATGTGTGGCCAATGAAGACACCTGGGGCTTTTTCACATGAACTTAGACCAAACTAAGTAATCCTGTAGGCTGAAAAAAATAAATCCTGTGAAATGACTTTTTCAGTTAGTCCTTATTAAACTGTATCTCCTAGATCGGCTTAAACACGGTTTGGGGCATATACAGTTGCGGTCAGAGGATGAAGCTGCAGAACACGTCTTGCTGAGAGCCTCTCTCTCCTCTTTGTGTCTGTCTTCAAACCTCTCCAGCGCCTGACCTCAAGGATCCTCAACTTCTGTCAATTACCTGAAAATTCAATTCTGTGAGATCTTAATCTGGGTTAGGTGATAAACGAGCTCTTTTGTCCCAGAGGTTTGGGACAATGTCAGATTAGTCACAGTCTAGACAGCTTTATTTATTGCGGGGCCTCGTAATAACGTGCACTGTGATGGATGCTCTAAGGGGAACAATCTGGCACAAAAGCAACATTTTCCAAGTGACAGGATGATAAGACCATAGGATCTTTCCGATTAGAACATTTTATGACACTATGGCGCCATCTGATACAGTTTGGGACTTACTAGCTGCCTTATGTAGCCAGAAAAGAGTGGATACACTTTCTGAGGCAACCAAGTCCCAGCAAGTGGGAGCGACCCAGGGCCTCATGAGCCAGGAGCTTAGGAAGCAAGGATCTTTCTGACTGGGGAGCAGGTGGTATCTCCACCAGCTCCTGAGGCCGGAGAACAGAATCCATTATCCACCACATTCGAGGAGGCTCTTCTGCTCTCCGGCCCATCCTGACTTCCTCCCTAGCCTACTTGCTTTTCTTTTCTTTTTGCCCAGGTGATAGAATTTGTCCTCTTAGCAGTTTAGCCAGGACAACAAGCTTGCATAACAGTGGCCAGCTCTCCATCAATATTTAGAAAACTTCCCAAGAGAGTCCATGCCTTTGTGAATCAAGGCAGGACATTTATAAGTCAATAAATCCCACTTTGAAAACGCCAGGAGTTCAGTTTCTGGTCAGCCACGAAGCATTTCTGGGTAGTTTCACTTCCAACTTCTACAAAGAAAACTGCTTAATACTTAGATAAAGAGGCACTGACCCAAGAGCAAATTTCTCTCTTCGCAATGGAGGAAATAATTTCTTTCCTTTCCCTCCAGGGACAGGCACTCCATCACTGCAGCTATTCAAATACAGTGGGAAAGGGTTTCTCTTCTGAATCAAAAAGCAAATCTATCCCAGAGAGCTAACGACCACAATCTGGAAGGGCTTCAATGTGAAGTAAAGCGAAACAAAGTACAAGAGGCAAATAGTGGATTTCAGTAACAGGTAAAATAAATTCCCATCTTTGTAGACGCCAGGGGTCAGGCAGATTGAAATGTAAGGTTACAAAGGAGAGAGAGGAGAAAAGCTCAAGAATGAGAGAAGATCTGGAAACAGGAGATGCTGCTCTAAGAAATGAACGCTGATGAAGACAAGGCTTCAGCTTAGATTTTGGTCATTGATCCAACCTAATTTAGCCAACATAGGGGGAAAGAAATGGACAAAGGGAACATTTAGTGAGCACCTCGTGCCTGTGGGACTCGTGGTTAGGTGCTTCCTGGAAGCTAACTTGGTGTCACCCTCACTACCCGGGAGGACAGGTGGCAAAACTTCACTTACGGCCAGAGACTAGACACAAAAAAGACTAAGCAACCTGCCTGAGGTCACGTGGTTAATAAATACCAGAAGCGAGGTTGGAATCTACAGTCCGCTGGAACTGTAAGCACAGATCTGTGCTGGACAAAACTTGCTGAGGCTATGTGCCCCATTGCAAGAAGTGTCACTTTCGTGGAGTTGTGGCCTGACATGAGATGATGAGAGAAGAAATGCTAACTATCCCAACACCCTCTGGTGAACCGGGCCTTATGAATCAAGCAGAAGCTTGGCCACAGGTGTGCAGAGCTCTCGAGGGCCTGCCCAGGGTGGGGATGGCCAAGACACCATTCTTACAGAGCTCACCATCCCCTTGGGGTCGGTGGGCACAAACTCAAGGGGACCAGTAAATAAGCCACATCTTCCCAGGTAGCAATATGTGCTAAAAAGAAAATAAAGCAGGGGCGCCTGGGTGGCTCAGTCGTTAAGCGTCTGCCTTCGGCTCAGGTCATGATCTCAGGGTCCCGGGATCGAGCCCCGCGTCGGGCTCCCTGCTCAGCGGGGAGTCTGCTTCTCCCTCTGCTTCTCCCTCCCACTTGTGTTCTCACTAAATCAAAAAAAAAAAAAAAAGAAGAAAAAAAAAAAAAAAAGAAAAGAAAGCAAACAAAGCAAGGCAACATTGTCTGTATGGAGGGCCATATTCTCGGTTTCTTGCCATAGATAATCGGGGAAGAAAGCTGAGGAAGAATTTCTGGGCTCAGGAGTCCGTGTATGAGTACACCTTCAGGAGTAATTCTATATTCAGTAAAACCTGTTTGGGGCTAACCACCGCCTCCCCCAGATCAGCCACTGTCCTGCACTGAACAGGGCCCCCAAGTTTCATGTCCGCCAGGAACCTCAGAAAGTGACCTTGTTTGGACACAGGGTGTTGCAGATGTAATCAGGTGAAGTTCTTGGATGAAAGCATCCTGGATTTAGGGGTGATTGGTGTCTTTTAAGAGAAAGGAAAAGGCGATTTCGACTCAGAAACAGGGAACAAGGCTGTGTGAAGACCGAGGTGGCAATGGAGGGATCATGAGCTCGGGGATGCCTTGGAGCCACCAGAAAAGAAAAGGCAAGGACGGATTCGCCTGGGGCGCCTTCGGAGGGGGCAGGCCCAGCCGGCACCTTGATTTTGGACTGACCTCCAGGACTGTGAGCAGATAACTCTCTGTTGTGGTCAGCCACCACGAATTTGTGGTAATTTGTGGCAGCCTTAGGAGACTAATCCAGTCACACACAGAAATAATAAGCGTTTTCATAAAATCACTGCATGGGAGGCCCACACCCCTCTTCCAGGATCACTATCTAGTTCCGACGAAGAAGTCCTCTGTTCTGTGACCAGGTTATGGCCGCGAGGAGGACAAGAACACCAGGCGGCTGGCGGTGGTCAGACGAGGTGCCGGGAGCCTCGGGGGGCTGCTGCTGAGAAATCGACACCAGACGGCACCGGAATAAACCGACTACGACTACAGCCAGGGGAGGCACGGGCAGTCAGGACCCAGGCAAAGCCTCGTGGAAGTCGGGCTTTCTGACTCCGCGGCCTTGGCACAGCCCTCCACACCCTGCTCCGTGGAGGGAGCCAACGAGCCCTGATACACATGCTCAGAAAGGGACCTGCCCACAAATGCCCTAAATTCAACCGAGTAAAACGGCGCCAGGAGAAAATATAGAATTTAGCCATTTGGGGTGCAAGTAACTGGTGCAGCGCTGGGATCAAGAGGGAGAAGTTTGGGATTAAAGTAAGAAGTCCTTCGGAGGCCATGTGACTAGCTCAGTACCCAGCACATGGCTCTGCTGCTCTCCTTAGCACGCAGGTGGGGCCACCTGTCCCCTGGCTGCATTCTCCGCCATCCTTTGCTCCGGAATGAGCCTGTTAACGGGGGAGGCGGGGCCCGTGAGGAATCACAGCAAAGCACAAAAGCATCTGTTCACCTGCTAGTGCCCCTCCAACCTGCACAGCACCTGCCCTGTCTCCACAGCCCCCCATCTTCTGGGTCTGCCCAGCCCAGCCTCAGCCTCCTTGCTTGCCTTGTTAGCAAGTCCTGATGGGGTAGAAGCCACAGCTCCTCCTCTACTACAAATTGCCCTAATAGTCAACCAAAAGAACACCCGAGAAATAACATTAGCATCAAACCATACTGAGCACCTAATAAAGCAAACATTGTTTAAATGTAGCTGAATAATTAGATTTTCACCATGGAGGGGACAGGCCCTGATGCGATGCAAAAGGCAATCAATTTGATTGAGTCCAAAACAAAATGCATATGGTGTGTGTGGGTACACACGTACACACACATACCCTCTTGGCAAATTTAGTTATCCCAGGATGGAGAACTCGATTGTTGCTTTTCCGGTTGTCTTTATTTTTCCCCCTTGCTGCTTTTTAAAGATTTTATTTATTTGACAGAGAGAGACACGGCGAGAGAGGGAACACAAGCAGGGGGAGTGGGAGAGGGAGAAGCAGGCTTCCCGCCGAGCAGGGAGCCTGATGTGGAACTGGATCCCAGGACCCCGGGATCATGACCTGAGCCGAAGGCAGATGCTTAACCGACTGAGCCACGCAGGTGCCCCTCCCCTTGCTGCTTTTCTTTGCAGCTCTCCTTAGTGACATAGGAGGTGGGGTGGAGGGTTGGGGGGGGGGGACAGTGAGCTAAGGTAGCTTCACCTGCTGTTTAGTGGGAGTATCTGCCCAACTCTCAGAGCTGCTCTGTGCACACTCCTCCAGGCAGGGTCCCCTCTCGATTTACCTTTGCAATCTGCACACACCAGTTGAGCAGGTACTGGGAGCCAATGTTGTCCTTGTGCTCGCGCACATAGTCCAGGAGGCAGCCGAAGGGCATGAGCTGTGTGATAAGCTGGACCGTGGAGGTCAGGCAGATACCCAGGAGACGGCACACATGAGGATTGTCTACGCTGGCCATCACGTAGGCTTCCTGCATGGAGAAGAGAAAAGCGTTAGAAAGGCTCCGCACCACGGCTAATGGGACAGATCCCTTTCCAGGTTTTTTTTAAAAAAAAAAAAGCAAAGCACAAACGCGATTTTGAGTTCCAAAATGTGTACTGGTGGAGGACGGGGTAGCCCATGAAACATTCAGTGCAGTGGACATTTATGCGGGGCCTATTACATACATATTAGGCTGTGAATTCACCGTCCTTTAGTGGAAAACAGCACTGAGTGCAACACAAGGAGTTCCCTAGCGGCAACACACTGAATGAAAATGGCACCTGATGTCTTTGGGTTTGAGCGTTGCTGCTGATGCTTTTGCTGGGAAGCCCTCTGTCCCGAGGCTAAATAAAGCTGCTGCAGTTTAAAATGTTGTCAGGGCCTGCAGAAATCCTTGTTTGGGTCCCTAAGGCTTGATATCGACTCTCCGGCTGAATCGAGACAGACAGACAGACAGACACACACACACACACACACACACACACATATGCAGAGGTACGGCGGGGAAAGGTCCCCACGGAGGCCACAGATTCTCACCAGGCTGAAGACGCCCCTCCAGTGGGCCTGTTTCAGGCTTTGAACTGACAGCGGGCATCACATTACAGGGACCCCAGACTCTGCTGGCTGCTCAGGATTCATTTCTGAACAGAGGTGGTCTGTGTTGCCATCGCCCTCAGGCTTGATTGAGCTCAGAAACCATGCTGCTCGTGGGACACAGATCCATGACTATAGACTTTATTGTAACCCTTCTCCTATTCCTGGGCTGAGGAAGTGAACTTATTTACAAGTGTGCACACAGTGGGGGCCCTCTCTTAAATCCGACAGAGAATTAGGGAATCCTCACTTTCCTCCCATAAATTGTCTCCCTTTCAAACACAAAAGGTGGTGACCTTTAATTCAGTTGTGAAAGGGACCACCTGGCCTGCGCGAGAGAGCTCTGAGGTTCCTTTTTATATTTCCAGCACTCCTGCGGGTGGAATGTGGATTCGGGCATTGGCGGGGGTGGGGGGGGTGGGGGGGTGTGTGGTGTGAGACTTGGGATGAGAACACTGGAGGAGCCGGAGGTGACCGAGGAAACAGAGCGGGGCTGAGGGTGGAGGGCACATACACAGATTCCTAAACACAAACCGGATCACACCTTGTCTCTTGCCTTAAGCCGTCCTCTGGCCCCACAGTTCATGGGCAGCCCCACGCCTAGCACATCAGCCCCTGCTCCAGAAACCCCCCCCTTCCTCATCCTCCTGGATCTCAGCGCCCCCCTCAGGCCCTGGGCCACAAGAGGGCCTTTGCCTGGAATGCCCTCCCACCCCCTCTTCCCTCGTCTGACTCCTCCTCCGAGGGGGCCTTCCCGAATCCCCAGTCTTAAACTCTCCAGGCATCTTGCAGTTTTTTTTCCTTGGGGGAGCTGGCGCTTCCCTGCCTGGGAACTTGCTAGAGACGCAAATTCTTGGGCCCCACCCAGGCCTACTGCGCGAGACGCGAGGAGGTGGGGCCCAGCAATCTGTTTGAACAAACCCTCCAGGGGCTTCTTGAGGGCTCTGGGGCACTCATCATAATCTGCACTCAAATACTTGTGTGATTTTTGTAAAATGTCCTTTCTCCCCACCGTGCTCCTTGAGGAAAGGACTGCATTCTCAGCTCTTAGCTTTTGCCCAGTGCTTTTTAGCGCTGTATTTTGCTGGCAAACACTGCTTATTTATTGCCTCGATATCCCTTACATGTTCTTGCTGCCTCGGCAAGTCGGGTTAATACCTGGGTGCGGTGCAAGGACCTGTGTCAACTCTTTTGTCTTTGTAGTGGTACCGAACACATATTTAGGCAGGTAACTGCCTCAAAATGTCAGGATTGAACTACACTGCAATCATACAAAGCCAGAAATTTAAAGCAAATCAGAGACCACGCACTTCCGTTAACAACGACAAAAATCCCTATAGCTTTTAATATTCGCTGCAGAACGTTTGTGTGGGTGCTTTCTCGAGTGGTGAGGCCCTCTCCTTGCAAGCAGAGCTGGCCTTTCTTTCCTTCTGTATTGTAAACCTCGTATCACAACATTAAAGAGCAGAGTAGACATTTGATACTTACGGACCTGCAAACACCCCTTAAAGCTTGAGAAGGGCTGTTGATAAAAAGTTAGAGCTGGAAAGCCCTGCGCGTGCATTACTCATCTGAAAAGGAAACTGAGGCCCAGGGACGCGAACGGCTAACTGGAGACACTCTGTGTCAGAGCTGGGCCCACATACGGGTCTCCTCACGAGGGCGACACCCTCTGCAAGCCCTCTCGTCACCTCCACATGCTGTCCCCTGCGGTCCCCTGCGATGCCCCGCTGAGTGCTCCGGTGAATGGGCTACCAGAAAGCTCGAGACCTCATGACACACACAGCACGTATATAAATGTTTGCATTCATTTTCCACTGCCTGCCCTAAATTTAAACTGGAAAGGCTATGGAAAAATTAATAGGCCACGTGATTGCCAGAAATGCACAAATCACGTCTCTCCCCCAAGTCTGGGAAACTGTACAACCATAACACCAAAGAAATCCTCTGGCCGTTCCTATTTTCTCAAGATCTGGTTGAGATTTGGAAACATATTGTATTCATTTTAGAGGGGAGAAAAATCTGCAAACCAGAGCAAATTTGAGCAGCCCATCTGTTGCGGGGCCGTGAGGAGCTGACCTGGACCGCGGGATCGGGGAACGGAGCACCGGGCGTGGGTGTTGGGCCACACAGAGCCTGGAGCTCTGCCAGAGCCCCGATCCTATTAAAATCTGATAGGCAACAGAACTAGGTCATCACTTCCGCCCCACCCCCAAGGACAATGGAGACGCTGTTTGGTCGGGTGTCCTGTTTGGTGAGCGCAGAAGTTAAAGTGAGCTTTGTTCTTAGCTGTTTATCTTAGAATTTCAAAGGTGTATTGTGGCCTGCAGCAAGAATGCTTGGTATTCCCCAGCAATCTCGGAAGGGGACGCTCCGGCCAGGCGCCCATGCTCAGAGACCCCGAGGCTGAGGTCTGCGGCACATGGCATGGTGTCTCTGAGGCTCCGTGACCTTGAAAGTCTATTGTTTTGTTCCAATTGCCAAAATGATCTTTGGTGCCTGCCTTCTTGCTTGTCTCCCTCATCTGTGAACAGTTTTAGGTTACGAACTGGGGGAAAGGATTCTACTAGATTTTCAACTCCTTCGGGAAGGGCATATGCTTGTTAGCCTTCAGAACGAAGAGTAGGTGCCCCCATATTTTTGAAACTGTACCAGTTAACTACGCCACAGGCAGCAGCTTCTGATCCCCACGGGGTATCAGGGTATCAAGTATTGGGTGAGTGGTGCCATTTACAAGTGAGCGTGAGCATTTCAAAGGACACGTGCAGCCCGGTGGGCTGTCCTGTCACAGAGTTCACTTGCTCCTTAGCTCACTGTTGACACCAGCCTTGGACGGGATGTGATGGGCACAGGGTGCGATACGCAACTGGTGAATTACTGAACACTGCATCTGAAACAAATGATGTACTCTATGTTGGCTAATTGATTTTAAATAAAAAATTAAAAAAAAAAAAAAAAGAAAGCTGCTTTGGAATCACTGGCTTTTGCTTCCGAAATTTGGCAGATTGTCCCTGCTCCTTCCCTTCAGGGGCTCCCCGTCACCCAGGCATCACCCCGCACCCATGGGATTGCTGAGTTCTGGGCAGACTGAGCTTCAGGAAAAGCAGATGACAAGCCCTCCAGTTTGTCACCGAGGAACTGAGACACGAGAGAAGACAGGAGTCGAGCGGAAACCAAAATCAAAGGCAGGAATAAAATAATGGAGGACAAAAGAGGCAGTATACCAGACTGTGGTCTGGTATATAAGAAAGGCAAGAGAGAAGATCCTAAGAGCTCTCATGGCAGGGAGACACTTTTTTTCTTCTTTTACTTTTTCTTTTTATCATATCTACAGGCAGTGAAGGACGCCAGCGACGCTTACTGGGGTAATCACTGTGTAAGTCAAGCCGTCTTGCTGGACACATTCAGCTAACACCGTGCTGTCTGCCAGTTATACCCCAGGAACACTGGGGGGGGAAACTCAAAAACAAAACAAAACAAACAAAACTTCTCCAAAAAATGGAGGGAGAAGAGAGCAGGAGAGAGGGAGAACAAGAGGAAAACAGGGACTCCCTTTTTAGGCTCTTCAGTGTTTATCTTCTGCCCCTCCTCTACCCCACAAAAGCGGGTTTCCTCCAGTTTTTGGGGTCCCGGAGGTCCTTAGCAGTGAAAACTACTTCCCTCCCAAAGCAGAGCTATTGTCTTCAAAAGCACCCTTACTCAGCATTGTAAATATTGCTGAAACTCACAACTCAACATCGTTTTGTGAGATTTATTACAATATCTTGAATGAGAAGAATGAATTAAGGAAGCAAATTCTACAAAAAAAAAAAAAGATTTTCTTTTTGAAGGTATAGGCTAGCCAGCTCTAGGTTCTAGGTGAAGAGACGTCAGGCACATATTTCTGTGGTTATGCTAAGATAGGTTGACGTAATGTTAAAAGGACTCCACACTAACTTGTAAGCCATTAAAAGGAAAGATAATTTTGCTGGATCAGTATATCTTCAATGTGTACAATTTGCTACTGCACTTTATTAATACATTGAGGAGTGTGCCAGAGTGGGAATTTCCCCATAATAATAAGGGAATTTCCCCAAGATAATAAAGGAAGGAAGCCTGCGGGAGGAATTTCAAGTCCACAGTGGTTATGCCACTAGGAAGTGCATTGTGTCTAATTTTTAAATTTAAAATTTTTACATATAAAATTTTAACTTTAACAGTCTTTAAAAGGCCCGTGTTTGCCTTGCTTGGTATATATTCTGTGGGTTAGAAGCAAGAGTGGGAAATATTAGTTTGGCTCTTGTCCTTCCCAACTGTAAGATAACTAAATTGTCTAGATTTCTCAGGCAGCCATTTTTTGTGTGTGTGTGGTTTTTTTTTTTTTTGACTCTGTTTTCCCTAACCTTCTGCTAAGCCTCTCTACCTTCTCGTTCTCTGGCTCTGCTTTGGGATGAGAGCAAAAGTTTGCATCGACCCACAGCAACCCGAGGCCAATGGTGTTAACAAGAAGACCCCATTTGCCCACTGGATCTTCCCGAGCATCCCTTGAAGCGGGCTCTGCCACATCCCATGCTGGCCCCTCTTTCGGCCAGCCTCTGTTTAAGAGGATGTTGCCCCCTTATTGGCCAATGAGGATCCAGAGAAGGTGAGGAAAGTTCAGTGGAACTGAAAGTAAAGACATGAAAATAATCTTGTGGGACATTCCAAAGGCTTACTCCATAAACTAGCAAAGGACACTGGAAATAACATATACATTATTTGGGGGGGCAAGTACAGAAGATGGGCAACAGTTTATAGAGTTTATAGAGCATCATACTGTAATCCTAGGCACCTTTAAAAAAAAGTCATTTCAAAGATAACTTGGTGGAGCAAAATGGATATGCATTTCAGAGGCAGAAATAGCAATGGGCTGGAATCCTATGCCAACCACGTAACTGTGAGCAAGCTTCTTAATGCTTCCAAAGCATACGGAGCGTAATGCCCATACCACAGGCTGGTCAGGAGAGGTCACTGTGGTAGTGTGTGCAAAGAACTAGTCCTGAGACTGGCCCTTGGTGGACATCTAACGATTGTGAGTTTCTATCCTTTCGGGAGAGGTAGAGAGTAGAATGGAAGATGCGACTCTTCTCCATAGGTTAAAGCCTGAGAGGGAATTATACCAACTGCAGCCAGAAAGAAAAAAGACATGAAAAGTGAACATTTAGAATGTGGTGATGAAAAAAAGTCTAAAACAGGACAATGTGCTGCTAGACACCAGAAAATGTGCTTCTGATGTCCAGGCCTGTGGACAACTAGAGAACAAAGGAGAAACTTACATCAAGAATTTCCTTGTTGGCTTTTGGAGATGTGGCTTCTCTTAATTCCTTGATGGCCACGGGAATTTTAACCTTCTCACCTTCCGGGATCCAGAGTCCCTGTGACGGGGAAGGAGAGAAGACATTAACTGGCACTTGTCATCTGATGCAATATGCTGACTTGTGAGACAGACGGACTTTACCAGTGACGCCGTCCCAAAGGGCGAGGGACCTTGAGCACAGCTCTGCGCTCCAAGGCCATTGGTGCTAGGAGCCATGACATCTCCGCAGCTCTTCTGCTATCACGTTCCATGAATCAGAGTCATTAGATAAAAAACCCTAAGCCTGTGCCAGTTATAAAACCAGTGCGGGTCATTTTGTTCAGAATTCTGAGATACTGGGTGTCAGCCTGATTGAAATCAGCCGTGATGTAACAGGATCCAGAAAAAAATGAATTAAGAGGAGCTGTTTTGACTTGGGCTTTGTTTGGATGCTGTCACACAGTGATAGGCAGCCCTCCTTCAGACTCCGTCTCTGCCACCCACCCCTTTACAAAGTCACCACTGTGGTCCATGAAAACCTTGATGCCTGTGTAGGGGTCCCACAGGACTACTTATTTGTCACCATGATTATATAAGATTTCCTCTTGGCAACTTGGGGAAGACGCTGGAATTTCCCAAACCGTAAGCAACACGAAGAGTAGGTGAGGTTGATGAACACAAGATAGCCCAGGACTCTGGATCTGCCCACCAACCCGCGTCCCCAGAAGTCTTGGTGCCCTGGTGGCCTCACCTTGTACACCGTGCCGAACGCTCCAGAGCCCAGCACCTTGATCTTTTTGAATTCTGTTTCCTTTAAGATCCTCAAGAGAGCTTGGTTGGGAGCTTCTCCGCTGGGTGTAAGAGGCTCAACAAGCTGTGAGAGATAAGGAAGAAGAGCCACCACCTCAACGCTCAAGGCGCACGTGGAGGCGGGCCTTAACCAGGCCCACACACAGCCACGTGTGGATGTGCTTCAGCACAAACAGCCTGCCATGCTCACTTGAAAGAAGAAATTGCACGTCTTCTCAAAGAACTTCATGAAAGGTATGCTGACAAAGGGACTCCCTGGTATGGGTACCCTTGAACAGAACAGCTCCATTTCAACAAATGCAATTTCTCTTTTCCAGTCAATTAGCTGGATTGAGAGGATTTTGGTGAGGAACATTTTGGGAGGGTTGGTCATAATGGTAGCCTGTTGGGCGTCCTAACACGCAAGTGCCTTTATGCTATGAGCTGCCGTGGGTCTCTCCTCCCAGGGACCCTGGCTTCTGACACTCTGCGGGACATAAGGATGCCGGCTCAAGTGAGTCACAAACAGAGCTCAAAGCAACCGCACTGTGTAGACAATGGGATTTTCCACAGTAACATCTCAACCATGTGCCTTCATAGGAATCAACAGACACCTATTCGCAAGCCCCTCTGTGCACATATGTGCACGCATGCCACACGGCTTTGCATCCATGTTGTGAGACTTATTTCATTCCAGAGCTGTACCAAAATGTAACTAGTTGTTTATAACGGGACATTCAGAGATTCTTTCTGGTTTTTCCACCATCAGACATAAAACATAATAATACAATTACATATTTAACATACAAAATCTTGAATGCCAAGGCTTGGCAGGTGAGCCGCTGTTCCTGTCCGGGGTGCCGGGGCTAGGGGCACTGGCGGGGCGTGCTGGGCCTGGGCACCCACTCACCTCTCTTTCTTGCAGCAGTCTACGAAGCGTGCGCTTCCGGACGATGTGGCGCCGGCGCAAAAAGAGGCCCACCCCAAGGGCCACCACCACCACCAAGAGGAGGCCACCCACAATGCCGGTGGCAATGGATGGGATCTTGGGCCTGGAACGAGAGGGAGACATGGGAAAGTGTGGCTTGCTGACAGATTTCATTACATTGGCATTGTATCATTTCCTGCATTTTTTGACACCTTGCCATCATTTAACATTATCTCAGAAAGTAGATTCCACGTGGCTTCTACAGAGAGGAAAGAATGCAAAGAGTTTCTAGGGTAGTGTTTCCACCTTCTTGAGCATACGAAGGCCCTCCCTCCCAGCTTTCTTACATTTTTTTTTAAATTGAGGTATCTTCTGGACATTCCCATATGACAATTATAGTTTAATCTATTGATGAAGAAACTGCATAATTCAAAAAGTAACTCAGACTTCAGTAATGCTTTTCATATGAATTTGCATTTATCCCCAGAGTTATCTCCCTACGTTTGAGGCCCAGAATGCCACATGCATAAGACACGCATTGTCTCCTGGCTTGCCTGGGTGAAGGCACCCTTTCCACAACGTTGAGCCTCTTCGAAGAGTCCTTGGCTTTCAAGATGGGCCCACAGCCGTGTGGAATGCTTTATGAATAAGCTTGGGGGAGATTATAAGGTGATAGGATTTCAACACAAAAAACATCACTGTCATAAATGAGTGATGTTACTGTGTAACAGCAAAACCACTCTACCACCTTCCTTCCTCCCACCAAGGTTATGCCTGATTTCAGGGACAGCAAAAACTCAGAACAAAGGTTCTGAAGTTCACTGGGGAAAGAACCATCTGAATTCATGGATTCTGAATTTAGACTGTTTATACAATTATTATTCTCAAGTATCTATTCCATTTGAGCTTCTGGCAAACTTCATATTTTCAGGAAGAAATGTTAAAGAATTATCAAAGATTAATTAGTATCAATAGCACATAAATATCCCAACATTCTTACAAATTTCCTTGTAAGTGGGTCAAAGGTGCTCCACGACAAAGATATTTACAACACTTTCTCCTTAGTGAGTGCAAAAGTTGTGTCTTGCATTGTGCCATCTCCCCAATTAATGCAGTTTGCATTAGTGAGTTTTTACTATCTTGAAAGGAACACTAGAACGATACAAAGAATAATTTATTACAGGGTATGTGTTCCATGGGGAGCTGTAGTGAGGGTAAGTGAATAAAAAGAGAAGAAAAAATAAAAAGAGTAAATATAACAAAGAATGGTCATTGACTAGTTTCAAGGTGGGGCTTTGATGGAAAACCTCATTATGAAGGTACTGATCGTAGTGTGAAGATAGGACAAATTTTGCTGATGTAGGCTCAGCAAAGAGGAAGGGATGAAAGGAAATCTTTATCTCTGAGAAACTGCCTTACTCGTCTTTCACGTTTCACTTGATAGTAGGTAGGATTTATTCTCATGGCTAATTCTGGGGCAGAAGAGTCAGCTGACATGGAGGGCAGGCAGGTTGTTGAGGAAGGGACTGTGTAGACATTACTGGAAATGGAAGAGGTGCCTGGAAGTCTGGTTCGTGTTGGGTACGTCAGGAATGGCAAAGAGGTGCCTTGTGCATAATTCCGATTCCTTGCCAGACTCTTTCCTGATGAGTCTGACCAGGAATTCCCAATTCTGCTTTTCTTAGTGCAGCATTTCAAGTAATGATGGCAAAGCAATCAGAATTGAAACGCTGAAGGAAGTCACTGTTTCGAAAAGGTCAGTCAGGGGAGAAAATCCCCCCAAGCTGGAGCTCTGTCCTCAAACGTGAAGGTCTGAGATAGGGCCCACTGGGTCAGCAAGGACAAAAAGAGAAGCTAGCAGAAGGATCCAGCAAAACTGGTGTAACCAAAGAAGTCAGAGACAGGCTCCATGTAAAGAGAAGCACTGGGCACTGAGTGCTAGGGCCACACGGAGCAGGTCCCAGTGCTCACACCCTGCGTCCCCTCCCCTGAAGCACACCAACGAAGCAGGCAGGGGAGAGGGGGGTGCATTCAGCAGGGTGGTCTGTGCTGGGGATGCTGTGCTGGCCCAGAGGAGACACTGTTGACATAGAGGGCGATCAAAAATGCAGGAGAGTATTATCTCTGCCCATAGGTGTTTGGTCATCTCTGAGAGGGTCCACTGGACACAGCCATCATCACACTTACCCGTTGGTTGCACAGCCTTCAAGACCTGGCCCAGCACAACTGTAGGAATTGAGAGGAAAAACACATTTTTTAACCGCTCCACTTCTTCATATTTTGTCCGAGTTTTTTTTAAAAGATTTTCTTTGCTTATTTGAGACAGAGAGTGTGTAGAGCAAGAGAGAGAGAGAGAGAGAGAGAGAGAGAGAGAGAGAAAGAGCAAGAGCATGAGCAGGGGAGAGTGGCAGAGGGAGAGGGAGAAGCATGCGGGGGCTCAAACCCAGGACCCCGGGATCATGACCCGAGCCTAAGGCAGACGCTGAACCGACTGAGCCACCCAGGCGCCCCTTAGAGAGTTTTTATTAAGTCATAAGGCAACGTGTTTAAATTACCCTCACATCATTAAAATCACCATGAATCCCAATTTTGCGGCAGTGGCTAATCATTTACTTACTTTGCATTTATTCATTTGTTCATTCTCTCGGCAAGTATCTTTGCGTACGTACTCTGGGATGGGAGCTGTACTTGCATTGAGCAAAGCAGACAGTTTCTGGCTTCTGTTACTGAAATGCTTTCACGTACACTTTGTGATATATATAGAGAGAGGTGTAGCTGTCTCACGTCTCGCTCTAGGATGTCAGTATGGGCAGGGGAGTAGAGGACCCAAGACTAGAGCCACACTGATTAAGGAGCAGGAGGAGAGGAACAGATGAGGGAAGACAAGTCTCAGTGGCCGGGAAATGGCAGTGATGATTTCAGACCCAGAACGCCAGGAAGAAATAGCAGGAGTCGGCTTCACCCCCTCCCACACGACTGAATCGTGTTACACGCAGGAGAGACAGCACTGGTCTTCAATGACTCCTGAGCCGCTGGGTTCCCATTCTGGTGGGGGAGGCCACCATCCCCTACTTTGATTACAGGATGATGTAAAAAGGCAGAATACATTGGCTTGGAGGAATAGCAGCATTTGCCAATACAAACATCAGTAGGAAAGCAACATATTCTAATTCGACGGAAAAGACAACTCATGCTATTGTGCATGGACGGACCTACAGAGCATTATGCTAACTGAAATGAGTCAGACGGAAGGACAAACACCAGAAGATTTCATCTATATATAGGATCTAAGAAAACAAAACAAACGAACAAACAAACGACAGAAATAGACTCATAAATACAGAGAACAAACCTGTGGTTATGGGTGGGAAGGGGGTTGAGGGGGCTGGACAAAATGGGTGAAGGGGTTAAGAGGTACAAACTTCCAGCTGTAACAGATAGAAGTCATGGGGTAAGGAGCACAGCATAGAAAATATAGTCCATAATGTAATAATTCTGTATGATGACAGGTGGTGACTATACTTTTTGTGGTGAGCATTGCATAAAGTATACAGTATTGTCGAATCGCTAAAATGAATATAACATTGTGTGTCAGCTCTATTTCAGTTTGAAAAAGGAGGTCGGGGAGACTACCATTTCATGGTCTGAGAAAGGCTGAAGGACTACCTTTCAAGTTCATGAACAGGACGGGGGCGCCTTTGAGCACCCCGTTTCCTATCTCGGTCAAGGGCTGGCATCGGTACACTTCTCTCGGAGGGGAGGGTCTGTTCCGTCCCCATTTCCATGCTGTTCTGCTCCTTTCCCTCTTGGGCCTTTGGGCCTTCCGCCCTACATTACACACACACACACACACACACACACACACACACACACACGCTTTTTCAGGCCGCGGGATGCACGGGAGGCCTCGCTATTTCACACTCTATCATCTCCCAGGAAAACCAGAAGTCAAAGACAAAAGGCATCACTAATGAATGACCACTGATAAACTCCCACCCTCCTCAACATATCTCTGCTCACTCGCTTGTTCTCCCCGACAAGGACGGGCAGTCCTCGGATGGGGACACTGTGCAAAGTGAGTGCAAATCGAAACTGTAAATTTGGGGACCACATGCAGGGATTTTTGCAGCCTCTGAAGCTGCAGCGAACCTGCAGGGGTTACTAGGCCAGGAAGCTACGGACACACGAGTAGCTCAGAGGGAAAGAAAGGCCGGTTTACGTCTGAAGACGTGCCTGACGAGGACAGTGACAGGCCAGGTGCTGGAAGAGAGTCGATTCGCGTCGTGAGATGAAGAGGTCTTTGGCAAAGCTGGTTTGCAGAAATGACTGCTGAATACGAAGTCAAAGAAGCCATCTCAGACTCTCCTTCAACTGCATCAGAAAAACCATTCCCTGTCCTCCACTGGATTCATTCTTTTTTGGTTACATATAATTAGAATAGGACACATTTTGTCCGGCACCTTCACCAGAGGCAGAGCTTTGGCTCACCCGTAGGTACAGTTGGAATGGCACAGGTGGCACACACGGTTGGCATCGGCAAACTTCCAGACCAGGGTATTGTTCTCTCCCATGACACCAGCTGGGCACGTCTTGACGCAGTGAGGGCCGTCGATGTAGTGGGCACACTTGACACAGCTGTCTGGGCCCTGCCAAGACAGAGAGAGACCTTTATATACGTTTCTTTCTCTTTCAGAAGGTACTTACTGTGAAAACAGCCAATAATAATAGAAGTTCCTCAAGTAGAAAAACAACAAGCTTGTCTGGAATTGCCATCGCTTGATAGGACTGCTGTTAACAGCTTCCTATAAAGCCTCCCCGACTTTAAAGGCGCTTAGTATATAACTATACTAAGTACTTCATTACATTTTACTTAACAGATTATGGGCATCCTTCTTTGTCAAAACAATCTAATGGGTCTATGAGTACATTTACATCTTTATTGCTCAGATGGACTTTCTTGCATAACACGTTTGAGCTTCAAGGAAGGCTCTGTGGGAAGCCAGACTTGCTGAGGCCAATTTAAGAAAGCCTAAATCTATGTTTCTCTAGGGACAATAAGGTGGCTGCACAATTCACTGTGTACCGTGCTACCTTCGATTCTGTTTGTCAAACTCAGAGTGTCCTCGAAAAACTCAGAAATGACAGCATGGGGACTGCTCGGGTTGTATCCGCACACTTCACAAAGGGACTGAAATAAAACGGGTAGGGAGGGATGTGTCTGTTGGTGAAGTTCTCTGATGTCTCCCTTTTGTCCAAAGACTGAGTGTTCTCAGAACCAGAACAATCAGATGACTAAGTCAGTATCACCAGCTGATTTATATCAATGATGAAAATGTACCAACACCATGTGAACTTATAAACCAATGGTTTACTTTGTAAGTTGCCATGTTGGCAGCCTATGCTTCAAACACACAGCCTTCTGCCCAATTCAGAGAGAACTTCTGAAAAACAATTTCAATTAGCAGATTTAGGTATGGCTCTTGAAGCTCAAGTCCACACAGATGTCCTTATAAATAATATTGAGAATGAACAACATTAGGACGTTGGTGTGAGGGGGACTTGAATTCTCACTTATGCTTTTTAAAACATCACATAGAAAACTGAACTTCGAAAAGTTCTGCTAGGTGTGTCTTTAAAAATGCCTTGAATAATTGTGAACTAATGTTCAATAACAATTTGATGATGTTTGATTTAAATGAGGAAGCAATGACAACAGATGTCAGAAATAGTGAAAACTGGCTGACCATGTACCCAGTCTACCATAGGCCTCCTTTTGGTGAAAGAGTAGATGTCATTAAACTTGTTAGGGGGTGTTGGACAGAAAGGGTGAGTGCTCTTGCAAGGTGGGTTGCGGGATGACATCAGCTCAACCACAGCCTCTCGGACGCAGCTGTGGGCTCCCAAGGCCCCTTGTCTGGGCTGGGATGGCTGCCTTTGGTGGTTGCAGTGATGTTGGTTCATCGTCGTGGTTCTGCTGATGTCTGAGTGAATACCATCAAATGCGCTCCTCACCCGTCCCGTGCAGGTTATATTCATGGCCTGGGGCAGGCATTCTGGATGGCACTGTATGCACTCGGAATTCTCCACAAACTCCCTTGGCTCCCTGAGAGAAGGAAGGAAACTGATCAGTACCATCTCTAGTGATCCTGCTTCAAAACGCAGGGTGGTTACAACCGTCTGAGTTAATCTGTCTGAAACTTCAGGTGATACAAATGCCCTTTCTCAGCAAAGCAAAAAAAAAAAAAAAAAGGTCAACATGTAACCGTTAGGAAGCTCGGATTATACTGTAATATCATAAACTGATTGTATTAACTGAATCCTTGGTCATCTTCTTCCTGAACAAACCCAGAAGTTTCATTTATAATCCATACATCTTCCCTGCATTTTTCTACAAGGCACGGTTTTTGTCCATTAGGCAAACAAGCCGATAAATGAAAAAAGTAATCGTCCTTAAGAGGTGACCTCTCCCCCAATATCAGATTCACGGATATTTAAATTAGGCTGGAAAGAAATGACGAACTGTAGACAGGAAAAGGAAGGAGAGATGTTAGAACTTACTTCATGGTTATTAATAAAAACAGTAAGTATGGAACACTTCACACATGTGTGAAGATTTTTGCTTCTAAGAGTTTTGCGATTTCTCCAAGACGTCTAGATCAATGTTAAGCAAGATGATGTTTGATTGAAAAGACAAAATAATTGTGACAGCTATTAAGACTGAAATCTGCCTGGTAATTAACTACTGGTCTTCACTCCAGTGAACAAGGAGTGTTTACACCCCACAACATGTTCCATAAATCCTCCCTTATGCTATCAATTAAACCAAATACGCCCAGTTGGTTTTTTTTCCTTCCCTCTTCTCGGAGTTACAATGCCTGCGGGAGGACTCAATCTTGCAGACGGAGCAAGTGCCAGACACCAGCGTTCTTTAACAGAAAGCACCACCAACAGAGTTATTTTAATTCCTTCTCTCTCTTTTTTTTAAAGATTTTATTTATTTATTTGAGAGAGCGAGAGCGAGCGAGAGAGAGCACAAGTGGTGGGGGATGGGGAGAAGCAGGTTCCCCGACGAGCAGGGAGCCTGATGTGGGACTTGATTCCAGGACCCCGGGAGCATGACCTGAGCTGAAGGCAGATGCTTCACCGACTGAGCCACCCAGGCGCCCCAGTTCCTTCTCTCTTTAAAAAGATGTGGAAACTAGTATTTCTTGTTGAAACAACACTGTCAATTGTACAAAGTACTCTGGTAGGTTCCTGAGCCTATCTGCTAAAGGGTTCCTACAGAACTGGACTTGGTCTTCTCATCCTGTTCCTGAATATTTCTGGATCCAAGCCCTGGGAGGGAAACAAGAAGGAAGGTTTCCTGTAGCAATCTGTAATTCCTACGGCTCCTTCTGTCTCACAAAATTTCCCCTTTTCTTTAAAAAAAAAAAAAAAAAAAAGCCTCTGCCTCTCTCTGTCCTTCAATTTTACTTTCCTGTTAATTTATTTTTAGTCACTATTTGAGGACATTCAAAGCTTTATATCAATCTCAAGATTCCCAGAGAATCAACAGATAGAAATCAACTGCAAATAAACTGAAGAATAGTTATGTTGTTGGTTGTTTCTTTGTCCATGGTTACATTTAAAGTTATATGCACGGTTCAGTATTTCTTGAACATAAAACAAAAATTAACCGGGAAATGTAATTTATATTAATCTATTTTGACACGCCAGGGAGAATGTATTGCAAAGAAAAGTCTAAATGACTGTGGTCTTGGCCACACGAACCACTTAAGACTTTTCCATTTGTCTGGGGAACTTCGTGTGGCTTAGAAAAACATCAGAGATTTCCAAAACAGACACTCTATAAATTGGTGGACTGGGTTAAGCCATGAGTCCTTTTGTGATTAACACCTCTCAACAAATAAACAAAAACAAAGGAAAAAGGGAAAAAAAAAGCAATAGGATCAATGTGAGTAACTGTAAACCTATAAAAACAATTGCCTATCTTTTATCAAAACAAAGGCGGTAAAAAATAACCTTACCCCTCCAGAATATTGCACTTCTCCACACATTCCCTTCCCCGGCTGACGTTTCGGCAGGACACACAGTCTTTGGGCTCTGGGCCCCAGCAGCCCTCTGATGAGCATAAGGGATGGCAGACGTGGCCGATGGCCTCTGAGAAGACACAGTGAGCCACAAGTGGTCAGCTACGGCACAATGACTAGAGGGGCCAAGGGAGAGCTGTAAATGAGGTGCTGGGTTCTCTGTGACCCTGAGCTGCACGGACATGCAGGGGGTGGCGAGTGGGAAGGGGGGGCACTGGAAGAAGCAGTGACACCAACTGGGCCTCTAGAGGCCAACTGCAAGTCCTTTCTCCACTGGGAGTCAAGGGTTCCCGGACTGGACCTGGGTAGCATTCTGCTGATGAACGTCACAGTTGAGGGAGACACAGGGAAGGTTTGGGTTCCTTACCATGTGCTGGGCACCATGCCAAGAGTTTTAAGGGAGGGTGTAACAGGGTGATGGGTACTGAGGAGGGCATGTGTTGTGATGAGCACTGAGTGTTATACGCAACTAATGAATCACTGAACACTACATCAAAAACTAATGATGTACTATACAGTGGCTAACTGAACGTAATAATAAAAAAAACAAAAAAAAACCCAAAACCAAAAAAAACCCCAAAATAAATAAAATCTTAAAAAAAATAAAAAGAGTTTTACATATAAAATTTCATTTCATTCTCTCACTAGCAGTGAGAATCACCGAGGAAGCCGAAGCCTAAAGAAACTAAGTAAACTGACCCAGGTCTGGAAGCTAGGAAGGACTAGAGTCAGGGTGTGAACTCAGACCTGCTTCTCCTAGTGACCAGGCAGTGCCCATGCCCTGGCTTCAACAGCTACCTGTGGCCCTACCATCAGACTAGGAAATGTCAGTGTAAAATGTTCATTCTATCTGTATGTGTGTGCATGCGCGCACGCGCGTGTGTGTGTGTGTGTGTGTTGCTAGCTACAGTCATCAGAGGTTGAAATGAGCAGGAAGAAGCCTACAGATCAAAGGTAAAATAATACAAAATTTAGTTCTGCAAGTTACAAATAATCGATAGCTTAAACCTCAAGGCCAATTCATCCTGTGAAATGTGAGCGATCTAGAAACTATTCCAAGGAACTTCACACGATAACTTCCCAATTAGGAATCTAGAGATTTCTCTTAAGCTGCTTCTTCAGGAATGAAAAATGTAACTGGAAGGTTTGGGACTATACTAAATCAAAATAGATGACCCATGTGAACCAACTCCGCAACCAGCCAGAGTGATTACTTACTGCAGCCTTTTTCATCTTTGTTGTTTATAATTTTGGTCTTCTGACTTGAAGTCCCAAATAGTTTTTTCCAGTTTATTGTATTCGCATAGCACAGTTTTTGGTTTCCTGAGATGATCACATCTCCGTCACTTATCTCTTTGAGGGAGCGTAATCCCAAGGACGTTATGTCCAGGCCAACGACCGCAAGAGAAAACTGACCACTACGGTGGAGAGAAGAAACATGACATTGTGAAAAAGTATGAAAAAACTGTATCACTAAAAACTTGATTTTTATTTTCTGGGCCACCTTATGTTTACTACAAACGGCCTCCCAGCGATTGTAAGTCATAATGTAGGAAGGCTTTCACTGCAGCTTTTGAAAATTACAAGAGATTTGTTTTAAGCTCCTCCAGGCAAAAGCTCGTTCCTTGTTCACTTAGTATTTTTAACTCCAGGGGCATACGGGGAGCTGAATAGATGTTAATGCCATTATTATATTTACTGCCTTTTTTTGGGGGGGGGCTGGGAATTGAAAGTATGTTCTAACCTCTCAAATATCCAAATATACTTCAAAAAAATCACAGGTTCATTTTTTCCATCCACGTACTCACCCATTCATCTATCCATCCATCCACTCACCCATCTATCCATCTA